CACACACACACACATATACACACACACACACATATACACACACACACATATACACACACACACATACACATATACACACACACACATACACACACACACACACACACACGCGCACATACACACACTCTCTCATACACACTCACACACACACACACACACAGGGGAATGAGGCTGTTGGTGAGGTCTGTGTGTGTTTGTCGTATCCGTAGGTGCTGCTGTTGGATGAGACGCACAGGATGTTCTTCATGGATACAGGGAAGCAGATAATATCGGGACTTCTGGCCAAAGCCAACAAGGTGCTTCAAAAAAGAATGGAATATTTAAAATGTTTTTATGATTTTGAAAGCAGTTTCTTCTGCTCACCAAGGCAACATTTATTGATCACAAAATACAGTAAAAACAGTAATATTGTGAAATATTATTACAATTTCAAATAACTAGGTGAATATATAGTCAAATGTAATTTATTTCTGTGATCAAAGCTGAATTTTCAGCATCATTCCTCCAGTCTTCAGTGTCACATGATCTTCAGAAATCATTCTAATATGCTGATTTGCTGCTCAAGAAACATTTCTGATTATTATCAATGCTGAAAACAGTTGTGCTGCTTCATATTTTTGTGGAAATTAATCTTTTGGAAGCTTAGGAATAAATTACATTTTATTTTCTAATAATATTTTACAATATTACTGTTTTTATTGTTTTTTCATCAAACAAATGCAGCCTTAGTGAACAGAAGAGACTTCTTTCAAAAACATTAAAATCATAATTATTTCAAACTATTGGTGGTAGGTTTTATATAATTTTTTTCCCCCATAAAACAACATGCGTTGAAGAATTGTGCACATTATAAGACTAGAGACAATTAATAAATGAAAAAGTTAATTAAAACATTTTTATCTGTTGATTTTTAGATTGAAATGAGATTTATCATCTACTTTCGTGCGTGTGTGTGTGTGTGTGAATGTTTAGAGTCCGAAGGCATTTCTGGAGAGTTATGATGACATGCTGCAGTACACACAGAGAGAGGAGACGAGGCCCGTTACCAAGATGGAGCTGGAAGGACGAGGGGTTTGTCCTGTTTATCTGTCTGTCTGTCATTCTTTCTTTTATCGTCCAGTTCCATAGGCTAAATTATTTCAAAACTTAACATTTAAATGAAAAACTAAAAATAAAGCTAAAAACAATTCAAAATATTAAAGAACAAAAGGTATAAGAGTATAATAATGATTCTAACATAACACTAAGCCAAACACCAAAAAAACAACTACATGTGTATGTACAACCACACACACACACACACACACACACATATATATATATATATACAAACACACACATTTATAAATTCAGTATATATATATTATTTCATTTCCATTTAGATTGTTGAAGTATTAAAATAACTCAAATTAAATAAAACTTAACAAAAGACCTATACAGACATAATCAATTCAGACATTATTTAAATTTAAATATTAATAGATACTATAATCATATATAAATAACTTCCTGGCTCTCTGTTTGGCCTTATAGAGGTTTGACCTTTGACTTTGCTCTAGGTGGTCTGTATGAACTTCTTTGACATTGTGCTGGACTTTATCCTCATGGATGCGTTTGAAGATCTGGAAAGTCCTCCATCTTCAGTGGTGGCCGTTCTAAGGAACCGATGGCTCTCGGACAGTTTCAAAGAGACGGTACGCAAATGTTAGCACTCCAACTCGAATCCAGACATACTGGATCTACAAAACTGAGAATAAAGGTTCCATTTAGAACCAAAAAGGAGAATAAGATTGTTTATTAAAGGGATAGTTCACCCCAAAATGAAAATTCTGTCATTAATTACTCACCTTCATGTCGTTCCAAACCCGTAAGACCTTCGTTCATCTTCTGAACACAAATTAAGATATTTTTGATGAAATGTGAGAGCTCTCAGACCCTGCATAGACAGCAGCGCACCTGTAATGTTGTCAGACACAGAAACGTAGTAAAGACATCGATAAAACAGTCCATGTGACATCAGTGGCTCAACTTCAGTTTTGCAAAGCTACGAGAATAATTTCCTCCAAAATGGCGGAAGACGTAACTCGGGCGAGAAGAATTGTTAAATAAATAGTTATTTTTGTTTTCTTTGCGCTCAAAAATTATTCTCGTAGCTTTGCAAAACTGAAGTTGAGCCACTGATGTCACATGGACTGTTTTATCGATGTCTTTACTACGTTTCTGTGTCTGACAACATTTCAGTTGCGTTGCAGTCTATGCAGGGTCTGAGAGCTCTCACATTTCATCAAAAATATCTTAATTTGTGTTCTGAAGATGAACGAAGGTCTTACGGGTTTGGAACGACATGAGGGTGAGTAATTAATGACAGAATTTTCATTTTGGGGTGAACTGTCCCTTTAAGTATTGTTATTCTCCAGTTCTTTAGAAACCATCTATGTTCTGGTGCTTTAAAGACGACAACAGAAAACAAAACCTGTAACGACCCTTTTTAATAAAGAACTAGCTTTTCTATGTCTTGATCTGTCTCTGTATTTCCTACTTTCTGCTTAATCGTTCTGTGTCTCTCTGTTCACACAAGGCATTGGCTACAGCCTGTTGGTCTGTGCTAAAAGCCAAAAGGAGATTGCTAATGGTGAGTGTGAAAAACAAAATATGACATTATATGATCTAGAATCAGACCACACCAACGTGTTTTGTGTTTGTTGCTCAGGTTCCTGACGGTTTTATTGCCCATTTCTATGCAATCTCTGAACACGTGAGTCCAGTTCTGGCTTTCGGGTTTCTGGGCCCCCGGCAGCACCTCAGTGAGGTGTGCACCATATTCAAGGTAAGACCTTCTCCGTGTTCTCCACGCTCCTCCGTTATACCTGAGCTAACCCTCCCGGTGATCCAGAAACTCCTGTAATCCAGATCAGCACATAATCTGACGCTAATCTAATCTCAGTGACACACTGATGCCTGCGATCAGATCATGGACCCGCTCAGAGAATAGATACAGAACTTAAAATGGTCTTCAAATTCACGCTTCCACAAATTAAGGCCTAAAAGAGTCTTAAATTCATAAAGTCGTGGCTTTAAATGTTGCATACACATCCTTAAGTCAAGATACATTTACTTGAGATGCAAAATTAAAATATGAACATATATTTTTTCTCGTTGTAATCATAAACTCAATTCATTTTGATCAATTTCTCATAAAGACTTATTATTTATGCCATTTTGCTTCTCAAATAAATTATCTTTAGACATTTGCACTGGAAAAAAGACAAAAATACAGATTTTGCTGTCTATCCATCCATCCATCCATCCATCCATCTCTCTTAGGAAACATTTATAAAATTCAAGTATCATTTATTGTAAAGAAAGACCAGGTTTGTTTGGTTTGAAATGCTAAAACAATCAAACACGTTCAAAAGGTTGAGTTTTTTCAAGTTTCTTCTGCTCACCAAGGCTGCATTTATTTGATCAAAAATACAGTAAAACACAGTAATTTTGGAAAATAATATTACAATTTAAAATAACAGTTTTCTATGTGAATATCTGTTCAAATGTAATTTATTTCTGTGATGCAAAGCTGAATTTTCAGCTTCATTACTCCAGTCTTCAGTGTCACATGATCTTCAGAAATCATTCTAATATACTGATTTGCTGCTCAAGAAACATTTCTGATTATTACCAGTGTTGAAAACAGTTGTGCTGCTTCACATTTTTTGTGGAAACGGTGATACATTTTATTTTTCAATATTCTTTGATAAATAGAAAGTTCAAAAGAACGAAATAAATAAATGTTACGAATGTCTTTACTGTCACTTTTGATCAATTTAACGCATCCTTGCCGACTACATACATCCACTAAAAACCACCCAGACACCAGTTGATTGAAAAACATTGAGACTTCAAACACGATGAACTCAAGTTATATCTAAATCTGATTTAAATGAAGGTTTATTAGTCTACTGTACTCTGTGGTTACACATTCTCCTTTGGTTTCCACAGCAACAGATTGTTCAGTATCTGAAGGACATGTTTGACCACGATAAGGTGCGTTTCACGTCCGTCTCGTCTCTGGGCGAAGACATCCTCAGTCTGTCCCACAGACGAGCGGACATCCTGGTGGGTTACCTGGGCATTGACAGTCAACCTGAGACCAATGGAGCTTTACCCAAGAGCCCCTCCCAAGCCAACAGCGGACAGCAGGACTGAGGTGCACAATCCTAATCTAACCTGCTAGTTTTAAAAGAGACCAGACACCAGGTCTCACTTAGCTATTCGTCACGGTCGACCAATCAACGGGACTATAAAGAACATTCATATAAAAGATTGATTGTTCAGACAGATAAACCACTACAGACTCACCTGAGGTCAACCGAGGCCTTTTCTTGATCTGCTTCTGCAAATTTGCCACCGAATATCCAGTGCTGCTATTTAGACGATGCTTTGTAAATGGTCTCTTTCTGAAGAACCCAAGAAGGAACTGAATGAAACCATCTTTTAGCCAAACATGCAGCCTGGTGTTGAGTTGCAGCTCTTCTGAATCAAACCCACACCGTATCGACGATGCCTCCTACGTCGAAACGCTAGGTTTTGTTTGTTTTTCATGTGTGAATGCGAGTCGTTGAGCGCTTGTGTTTGTGCCAATGGCCAAATAAAGTCTTGCACTGAATCTTGGGTAGCACCGAACACAATCAAGAGAGAGAATCGAGACAGATTTGTGAACTTGAGTGTAAATCTCTCAGCACATTTTGCCAGTTTGAGAGCGTTTCGAAGAGAGACTCGCACAGGATCACACTAGCTGAGCTCAATTGTGTCCTTTGTTCTCACCCTCACAATATATTAGTCCCAGTGTTCATCAGAGCGATATTTAATAAGACATGTAGGCCTGTTGGTTTGTTATATTTTCTGTCATCATACTTCATCCTTGATTTATATACCTTGTTTTTGTCCTTCATCGATATTCAGGACTAAAATAGCCAATCTACTATTCTGTTATATAGATATTCATTATGTATTATAAATGTAATACAGCAGTGGTATTGGGTCAAATAGGTCACAATTGTAGAGCACAGTTAGGTGAGTAGGAATGATCAATGCTAATTTCATATATGTGCTTTGACTTGTTAGTTCAGTCCTTCAAGCTGTGGTTGTTAAACTCTGTCAGCAACATCTGTGCCATTGTGAAATGATCAACGCCGCCTTGATTTTGTGAAAACAATAAGATGCATATTCCGTTGCACTTGAAGGCTATGGGGAAAATTGCCTCATAGATTCAGTTAAAGTGGATCTTTTTGTTTGCTTTTGAGTTATTTGTTCTATACAATATTGTAATATAGTATACATTTCTTCTGTGGCAGTGGCACAGATGCTGTCGATAGAGTTTAAATTGTATTCAACCCATGTTCAAAACAAACAACCAAACTGCATCTTGCAGGTTTTTGATTGGCTTAAACATATGGTCATGACTTGCAAAAACATATATTAGCGAGCAAAACCAGCTAATAAATGCGCTACAACTTTTAGAAAAAATTCTGGTCATTTTAAACTGAATATGCATGAAATGTCTACAACAATCCTCATAATCGCCGAGCCTTTACAAAACTTGACCATGTTCCTTAATTGTGCACAGGAGGCATTTGTGAAATTAGGTGTTAGGATCGTTATAGTGTTTCTTTCCTCCTCATATTGACTATTTAAAGTGTCTTGCACTTTATTTGTTCAAAATATATAAACAGATGCTCATTTTCTCTATTTTGATCAAAATAATAATCGAGTTGTTAACTAGCTTAAATGTAGTGCATTTGTAATTTTTTTTTCTGTTTAATTAAATTAATTTTTTTGGGACATGTGTAATTTATATGAAAACTGAAATGTATAGGTATTTAAAATATCAACATTGAGGGGTTATGAGTGATTGGTTGTGCCTCTTATTATCTAATATTATATATTCTTTTTGCCTTTATTAAATGTGCTTTAAATACACACTATTAGATCTCTGCCCTGCTTAAAATTCAAATCATAACCAGAACTATCTGCACCAACTTGGATGCAAAGATATAATTCTTAATAATAACTTATAATGATAACTTTATTTGCCTGATTATTATTGTTAATTGAATAACCAAGATTGTGTTCCTCTAATTTCATCATAAATTGGGTTTATTCCTATTTAATTTTATTTTCAGTGTTCAAATGTGAATTTGTAGAAATGTCTGATGGAGATATGCATGCAACTTGCATTAGCGCAACAAGACCAGACTGAAGGTATAAGTGAGAAGGTAAATGTTTGATTGCTTTGGTATCATTCCAATGTGTTTTAATGATTAAACACGCGGTTTAATAATCTGCATGAGTTTGGGTGAAGACATCATGAAATAATGTTTTCGGCTTCTGCTGCTATTCCCCTTTGTTTTTTTAGTTGTTAAATCTCTGAAACAATCACTCATTGTGTCCGTGTCCCATTTTTGAATCACATTGGTCCATCTGAAGATTATTGATATTTGATGTGATTATTAAAGATACACCAGTGTGCTAAAAGAGTGACAGTAACAGATGCTCTGATTTTTATATGAAGTTATGATACAGTTCCTGATAGATGTACCGTTTCTCCTGTAACGACTGATTCAAAACAAAGCACCAAATTGAAGACAAACGAAGGCGAGGTCTGTATGAATTGGGGGTTGTTATTTCAAACCACAGCTGCTGTATTTTATACCCAGAAAATTCACTAAACAATAAAGGTTTATATCAAATGTTTTCGGTAGAATTGGGTGTCTAACGATGGCCAAAGACGATGAACCGGGGTGGTGGAAAGCAACTCAAGTCTTTATTTCCTTAATATTTACTTAGTGTGCGTGTTTGTGTTCTTCACTTGCCTTTGTGTGTTTTTTTTCCCTTGAATGTACTTACAAATCAATGTCATTGTATTAGTTATTATTGAAAACTGTATTGTCATTTTGCCTTCCCTAGCCAACA